GTCCCATAAGCTGGTGAACGCACTTCCAGTGAATAAAGCACAGTGAATTTTGATATTTGGACACTGTGCTTCCTGAATGGGTCCTCTGGATGCAGATTTGTAAGTAGAGGTTCTGATTCAGTGGCCCTGCCTGAGACTGTGAATCAGCATTTGACTGATATTGCTGATCCACACATCAATGAAGACTCTTAGAGTGTAAAAGCAATGCTCATAACAGACCTTCAGATTTTGAAAAGTTTAATTAAAATATAATTATTTCACTACTGTCTTTCTCCCCTTCCTTCTATCCTCCCATGTCACACCTCCACTCACTCTGAAATTTATGGCCTTATCTTTAAGTATTTTTATTACATATAAAAATAAATACTCACAATTATAACATACTGAATCTACTCAGTTTTGCCTACTTGTACCTGTTTCTGGGTTGGCAACTTAGTATTGGATACACAATCAGGGCCTCATCCCTTGGGAAGTGTAATTATCTCTCTATCAGATGACCTGAACTACCTGCATCTCTTCATCTAAGGATGGGTTATTATGAAATTTTCCCCATCTATGTTGAAATGTCAACTCTTGTTGGACTAATTTAGATCTAGGTTAGTTAGCCATGTTGGTGAGATTTCATGGTTGTAGCTTCCCAGTCACAGAGGGAAGGTACGATAAACATAATATGTTCTGTATGCATATACACCATGATTTTAGAAAGTGCCTCAGGCTGATTCCTATAACAGCATGCCTGTGTCTTTTTGAGAATTAGCAGGCAGCCTTTTCTGCTTCAATGACCCCTTTACATTTCAAGAATCAGCCCCTCCCTCTGTGTATTCCCTTTAGACCCTAAATTATCCTTAGTTACGTTTATGGGACTCCATGTCCTTGGAATTCTGGGCGTCCATCATCAGCTGAAGAAAATCTACTCGGTGCTGAAAGGAGACAGAAATTTTAAAAGCAGAAAGTGGGTTGGCAGGCCAAAAATAAGGATGAAATGTAGAAGTTTAACTCTCATGTGAGGAAATAGCTCATTTAAGAGTTCAGCTAATGTTGTCTGAATTACTAGTGACATAAACACTGACCCCTAGATTTGGGGGAACAAAAAGTTCATGAACCCAGTAGTGATGGCACACACTTCCATACCAGCACTTTAGGAGGCAGGCTCATCTTTGAGTTTGAGTCCAGCCTGGTCTATAAAATGGGTTCCAGGATAGCCAGTGCTACTCAGAGAGACCTTGTCATGAAAAAAATATTTGTTTTAAATAAGTCTTTCAGGGCAGTGTAGCAGGCTGCCATGTCCAACATCATTTCGCATTGCTTCCCCTCATTCTAAGCACCTGTAGCTGTTGAGGGCAGGCTCCTGGCTAAATGGTTGTAGTTTTTTTCTCCTTGGCATATTGTTCACCAATATCTCATACTCATCAACTGGTGTTTCTGGAACTGATTGCTAGGTTTCCTGTGATTGCCTACTCTCTTAATTAGGGTTGCTATTGCTGTGAAGAGACACCATCAATTTTTTGGCAACTCTTATTAATGAAAACATTTAACTCCAGTGGCTCACTTACAGTTCAGATATTTAGTCCATTAGCATCATGGCAGAAATCAAGGCAGTATATAGGCAGACATGATGCTAGAGAGGTAGCTGAGAGTTCTCACACCTTGACAGGCAACTGCAGGTGGTCTGAGACACTAGGCGTGCCTTGAGCATATATGAGATCAAAGCCCACCTACACAGCAACACACTTCCTCCAAAAAACCCACACCTCCTCATTGTGCCACTCCCTTTGGCAACCATGCTCTAAACCCCAGAATACTAGCAAATGAGCAGTGACATCTCCTCGCACATGATGCTGACTCCCTGACAGCATTCTGTCATCATTTTTTTCAGCCAACATCCTTACTCTTAGTCCAGTGTGTATACCGTATTAAGCAAAACTGGGTTATACAAGAGGCAATCTCAATGCTCAAAGATATTGCTGAAGTTCTAGGCACACTACAACCAAAATTGAGCAGACCAAATACATTAAATATCAGAGGAGGTCTTTTTATGAGGAATGTGTATCTTTTGACATCATTAATTTAAGATTAAAATAAATTTTGTCATAGTTTACCTCTTTGGTATTTTCAAGTCGCTCTTTTTTGATCTTTTCTATAAATTTCTTAAAAAATGATGTAGCATCATTTGGAAACATACTGATGTTTAGTTTGTTATATATTCTGGGAAGGAATGGAAAGAGTGCTATAGAGAAAAGACAAAATGATTAAAATGCAAATTTAAGCATTTGACAGTTATTTTATTCACAAATTGCAAAATTTTAATAATTTAAGTGAAATATCAAAACAACAGGAATAACTATGTTAGAAAAGAGTTTAATTACAAGAGATAGAAAGTATATCACTTCTAAAAGTAATTGAATTTTAAATAAAAGGACAAAGAGAAGAGTTCAGCTCCAGGAATATTCAGGGTGCGATTCTATAAAATATTTTGTTTGTTTGTTTGTTTTTATTTTTT